AATTTGCTCTTTTTTTTTTTTTCCCCCCCCCCCCCCCGTAATTTGTGGAAGAACTTTCTGTGGTCCTACAGATAGTCTTTCAGTAATGTGTAAACTGCTACGGTGGATCTTACTACAATGCTTTTCTATTGATAGCACACCTACCATTCTTAAGGTAAAGCCCCTAATTCCAGAATGGGGGCAAAAAGTGTTTTTTTTGGACCCTATTGCTTCTGTTAGTACTCAGCTTTTCACAAACTTGTTGAACCTGAGCCGTGCCTACTGTGCCAATGAATGCTTTGAGACCCAGTACTTTGTCAAGGTAGTTTTGCTTGTTGGAGTTACAGAAGTATCTCTGGATACGTTATAGGGAAATGTGCTGCCCTTGCAAAACCACAGACTTACTAAGTTGATCTGTTTCAAACCTCCTTTCAACTGTAAGGGAGAGTCTGTTTCAGTGTTCCGTCTTACTAATTTGCCTAGTTTTGCATGGGGTGTCAGCCTGTGAATGTTTTGCTTTATTGCATGTTTGCATGAAAGGCTGAGAGGAAAAGAACAAAGTAAACTTTTTTACACCTTAAATTTTCCCCAGAGTGTTTGGAATTGCAGTCTGCTTGGATGAATGTTCAAATCCAAGTACTTTCAAGGGAGTAAAACTCAACCAAAGGAGGTAGAATCCTTGAATAAGTATCAGTGTGGAGACATCTTTGCTTAATGGAACACACTTAAACTCTTTACAGAAACTAATTAAGTTGTATGTCCTATGTTTGCAAAGCAGCGTGATTATAGAGCTGCTAACATCACTTGTTTTGAGTCTTCTGTTCCGCAACATCAAGTTTTGTTTTCAAGCAATGCATACATACATCAGTTTTAGCTTTGGACAAGTAGATTTGTAATGCCAATAGTGATAAGCCAGAATCAGTGGTACTAATGAGCATAAAGGTGAAAAGCAGCAAAGAAAGTATTTCTGGAGAAATGTGAGATTACAAAAGCATTAATAGGCCATGAAGCACTTTTGTATCAATTCTTATCTTCTGAAATATCACCTTCAAGAAAATCTATTTATTTAACCAGGTGAGGATGTCTGCCTATAAGCATGAAGGAAATGCCTTGAGAGTTCATTTGCTGTATTTAGTTTGAGGTTCTTATATCCAGCAGAAATAACTATTTAGAGTAACATGTAACTGAGGATATTATAGCAGGAAATATATTATTTCTTAGCATTAAAATGCGACATCTTAAACAGCTATTTGTGGTGCTCAATATATCTATTTAATTTACCAAAGCAAATGGAATAGCATTCTTGTGTGTGATAATATTTGATTTCAAATGTTCTTTGTAACAGTATTAACAGGGAGTGAAACTGGCCCAAAATTTCCACTGGCCACGAGGCCAGTAAAACAAAGTGGCTTGTGAAAATTTTGGCCAAATCAGGTACTATCCATGAGGGTGAAGAAAAATCTCTCGACCTTTCCCTTCTTATTGGGCTTCAAGTCCAGGGGTAGCTACTAAGACTAGCTGCTCGGTGGCCTAAAGCAGTATCTGTTATGGTTTGGCCATGCTGAGGAAAAGTCCCCTGGGGACAACAGACGTCTCCCTTCCTGTTGCACTGAAACTTGCGTGATTCTTCAGCTCTTTAACATTGCCCTTTACAACTACAGGGGCCAGCAAGAGCCAATACTGCTTCTGCCACGTGCATGGCTTCGCTCAGTGTCTAAACTATTTGGCCACTAACATCAGCCACGTTGCCAGTGCAATCTAGGGAGAGAACTGTATATAATACTTAAGCTCAGCTGGACTGACTTAAATTTTACAATATTCTGACAAAATAAGCTCTACGACACTTAACATTTTGAACTGTTTTAAACTGGTACAAAACTGAACCTTTGTAAACTGAGCAGCATTTATAATGCTTCATATATAAAAACAATGCATATTTTTTAAATTTATTACATATCTATGTAGATATGCTTGCTGGAAAAGCTAGGTCTGTTGTAGACCAAATGCTACAAATTAAGACTTGTGGCTTACCAGTTTCATTTCTATATTTTCTTGGAAAATGTTTCTAGCTAGAGTTTAAATATAAAATGTAAATACTGTACAGATATGTATTGATATAAGTATTACTTGATGTACACAAGTGATTTGCATGACAAATACTCTGTATCAATCATTGTTAAAAATGTGATGTTCTATGTAAATCCACTGCAATATTAATGTTTTCAGTTATCATTAAGACCTGTTGCTTAAATCTGGAGATTTTCTCAAAAATAAAGTGTGAAACTATACTGTTGTATAGCTCCTCATTTACCAAGATATATGGGAAGCAATTGCTGATTTTTCTTTTTTTTAAGAGATTAAGGTTCAATTTTACAGTATGTGTTACAACCGCTCTTGTAAGTAAAAGGCCTCTTTTTCCTACCTTTAGGCATAGTAATTTAAATTATCAGGTGTAAATTTTCAGAGAGAAAAACCTTCAACTGCAAAATAGATTGTTTCGTAAAGTATGCTACAACTATGCGTATTACTCCATTAAAAGGCGGTTTCCCTTGAGAGCCACCCTAAATTAAGGAGGTATTTTGTCAGTTCCCTTCTGTGAGTTTCAGTCAAATGTAAGTAAGTGGGGGGAGTGGAAATTGGATCTCGGCTCAGGTAGCTTAATTAGACCTCCCCCAATTAGAAAGAGCTAATGCTGCTGCAGTTGTGCAGTCTGCTTCTCCATAGCTCTAACCTGAAGCTGTCACGAACTGCCCTCCCCCTGTTTACTGCATATTAGCTAGTTCAGGCAGTTGTTGCTTCAGGAGCTCTTAATCAAGGTACAGCAGTCAACATTTAAACTCCTTTTATACATTTATGCCGGAGTTATTCATCAGACAAAAGACAAGACACCAAATCTTGGAGCCAAAGGACAAAAGAGGAAAAAAAAGCCAGATACAGGAAAAGTATGTGGTTTCTTTGTCATGTTACTTTATGTAACTTCACATAACTGTTGCCATAGGAACATTATGCAGGGTACACTTATGGTTTGGCTTTACGGTGTTCTCCATGTACCAAAATATTAAAACATTAACCTTGCTCCTTTTTTTTTTTTTTTTTTTTTTTTAGTGTCACACACAGTAAAAAGCTACTGCTGAGCTTCCACCCTGTTGCCTGGTTTTGGAAGCTTTTAACTTCAAAGGAGAAAACCTTCTGCATTCTTGTCTAGGCAGCTGAAGTTCCAAGTTACTTATCTTCTCTGGGTCACAGCGACAGCATCTTCTCACCTACCACTGAAAGGAAGATCTGATTTCTTGAGTATCAAACACACTCTGAAAGCTGTCAATTCACATGACATATTGCATGTTAAATAACTCAAGTAAAACTCAAGTAAAAATCCATTTTAACTTTGCTGTATTTATATACTATATAAATTTTACATGCTATATATTTACAGTGGGGCAAGTGCTTTTTATCTTTAAAAAAACAAAGATCAAACTTTAGACATCTCTGAACAACACAGCTTGTATAAACCAGACAGATTATTCAGATGAACTGTATTTAATACAGGTTCCCCACTCATCTCCTGATGCAGGACCAGTGAATAATAAGTGCATCACAGTTTGATAGCATTTAATAATAAAAATAAAAATCACAGTATGAATTTGTCTGTAACTAGACACTTTAGAGAGACAAAACAGACAACTGAGACTTAAGACAAGTGACAGTATATTAAGAAAATGTAATAAAAACATATGGAAGAGTATACAAATAGTCTTGAGAGATACATTCAGAACTGCATATTTGTTGTTTCACAATGTTGAAAACCAGAAGATTTTCTTCAGATCTTGAATATAACTCAAATGTGAAGTAAATTAGTTTCTAGTGTCAGACATCACAGAAAAAAAGATGAAGCTCTTGCAAAATTCTAGTTATTTGAGAGCTTGTGAAATTTTAAATAAGTCTTTAAATTAAATATACAGACTGTCAGTTGCAATTTTTATAATTCCTGGTCGCTCTTGCACCAGATGTCTAACTTGGAGTAACATTACATGAATAACATAAAGTCAACCTGAGTCTGTAATAAAGCAGCATTTGAGATGGTCTATTCCAGGGCATTATCTCACATCAGTGAGATATTTATGTGGTAATTTACAATGTTCAGCAGTTGTAAAAAGTTTCCACCCTTTTGGATTAGAAGTATATTTTAAAAAAGAAAGTCTCAAGTTAAAAACTAAAAAAAAGTCCTTTCATGGTAAAATTCTGTACAGAAATGTTAAGCACCACTTATGACTGGATTTTGTCTTGATGGTAATTGGTTTGATAATAAATTTTAAGTTTTGATGGTCAATATTGGTAATGTCAGGTCTGAGGGTAAAAAGTCATCGGGTGTGATGGTAAAAAGTTGTCGGGTCTGATGGTACAAAGAAGTTGTCGTCGGGTCTGATGGTACAAAGAAGTTGCGTGGGGTCTCATGGTAAAAAATAGTCGTCAGGTCTGAGGGTAGGTTTAGTTTGGGTATTGAAGGTTTCCGTCAGTAAGTTCTGCATCTGAAAGACAAAAGGAAGCAATGTCACTCCCCATCGTGACATTCAACATAAAACTATGTTGCGGTGGTTTGACTTCTGAGAGAGAAGTCTCAAACCTGCACACAGCTCCATCTGCTCTGTGACTACAGCTGACTCGAGAAGGCGGCTTCCTCACATTTAAACTGACTGCATTTCAGTTCTATGCTAAGATTGGTGAATGGTACAGAGTATTTGGACAAAGCTCTACCTACTTTAATAGCAAATGGTAGACCTTAGGTAAATGAAATTTAGTTGAAGTTTTGCCTAGATAGCATCCTTGCTTTACTAACAATCTTACGGTCAAGCTGACTAAATCTTACCCACAAAAACAGAAGCCTTCAGAAACTTGCTGGAGAGAACTTGTAGGAGTGTAGGAAATTAACTGCTTTAAAGCTGCTCCTTCTCCCATACTATCTGGATTTTTCTTAAATCACAAGTTATCACTAGCCCTTTTCATCCATATTAATTTATTCCAAGTAACATGAGTCCTGGTGAAAAGGTACAACCTAACAATTCCATGTCAGTTGTTCCTAGCCTGTCCCTAGCTTGTTTGAGCTTTGTTACTCTCTAAAAACACACAGCCAAAGTGGCCTTTTTTGAGATTAGATTCCATCATTCAGAAAATCCTGCTTGAGACCCATTTTTTTTTTTTTAAATTGACCTTCCATGGGATAAAGCTAATTAACATCCATGGACTTGATGAAATACTAAAATTCTCAAGACTTAAGTGAATTGCTTTTCACAGCCCTCATGTCCCACTTGTGTTGCAAGCAGCATACCAAAGTGGGGTACTGCCATTGTATTTATCAATGGACATCTCTTTCACCTACATAGCCCAGTAATCTTAATGCCCTTGACTTGTGTAATGAGATGCAAGACATTTACCTTCTTACTATACTTTTGACTGGTTTAGGGAAAAAACCAAGTTTGCCATCTGCTGGCTGGAGAAGTCACTAAAGCCAAAGGAGTATTAGAGATGCATTTTCTTCTGTTCGGTTCCTGATTTATCAGCTAGAACTGAGACACTTTTAGTGCAATAAGAATTATTTTGACATCAATATCATTAAAAAGTCTATTTTTACAACAGTAGTATTTGAAAGGCCTCAATTCAGTCCTCCTTAAATGTTCCTTGTTAAAGAGATAAATATCAAATTTTACAAGAAGAATGTGTGAACAATCAGTTTTCCCTCCATACTGTATTTTCAGAATAAAACTTTTGGTTGTCTATGTCCTAAAATACAGTTGTTGTTCTACAAGTGCAATTCCTCTTTGCCTTAAGCAAACTTTTCAGTGCAAGAATCTACTGACTATGGCAATTTACCTTAATGTGGAAACCACGTAAAGTTTTTGAAAATTGAAAGTATCTTCCAAGATTAAACTTCTCCAAATAGTGAAATGCATTCAGCTGTAATGCAAGACGATGGATTCTTTTGTTTTCTATGCCAGAATGATGTTTGCAACACTGGGCTATTAATGAACAGGATTGCCACTATTAACCTAATTCTTAAATTGTGGGTAGGTATAAAATGTAGACAATTTAGAAATAAAACTTGCATTTAGATAGTGAGCTGTCTTCTTCAGGGATTACTTCAGTTATCTATAAGAGTGAAATAGATGGTTGGGGGCGGGTTGTTTGTTTATTAAAATACTGGAGTAACTGGGACTGGCCATTTGAGAAGGTTTTATTTTTATAATAAACACTTCTGTTCAGAAGAATTCCATGGGAAATGTCAAATTTGATTTTAGATGTTGAATTTATTGCATAGTGCAGTCTTCATTGCATAATTCTAGAGCTAATTAATTTAAACCATATTATCTACTGAGAGCCCAAGTAAGGACTATGACAAGCAACAGCAGAGTTCAGCGTAAATTCGGTCAGGCAGTCAAGTTTGTATTTAGTTTTTTTATAACAAGCACCAAACTGACTTTTTTTAATATTAAAAATTGGGAAAGAGCTGTTTCATTAGCCCACTTCTCTGTATTTTTAAGCCTATACTAACAAAAAAAACCCACAAGTAAATAAAAGAGTAGCAGGAGTTTAACATACTCTCCGGGTATTAAATTGCAAAGCATCCTCTGGAGGGTTAACAACTGTACTTAGGAGAAGGCAGATCTACATCTGAAAGAACAATATTTCAGTATTATCACCAACTTATGTTACTCTGAATAAGCAGTCAGCACTGTTCCTATGTTCTGAAATAGCTGAACATAGTATTTTATTTAAATCAATGACTCTGGCAGGTTTGTTTTTGGTTTTGTTGGGGTTTTTTTGTTGTTTTTTTTTTTTAGGAAGATGGTGTTTCACTACAATATTACTAGCTATAGTAATATCATATATATAATATCATCATCTTCCATCTTGACTACTGAACCTCCTGTCTACCTGTTAAGATTATTTTTCAAGATAAAGCTGCCCAAGGTTTTTTTTCCTAGTTAGTTGGACTGAATTTAATAAGGCATGTTGCATCTCTCCCACTTGTTCACCACTGAACCATCAGGTCAAATTAAAATTACTTGCCCTTCAACCCCTTTGCAGTTTTATTTCAGACTTTGTTTCCTAGCATTCATTTTAAAATGGAAAAAAAAAAAAAAAAAGCCTATCAACTTTTTTTTATATTAATGCAGACTGTTTGGAAGCCATGATATAAAGCAGAGATTTCATCATACAAGCATTTTAAGACTATTTTAAATAATAGTGTCTGTGTGACCAAAAAGGAGTCCTGCAAACATCCTGTGGCCCTGTACCTTTAACATACTCATTGGATGTGATGGAGCTGTATTTCTTGCTGTCACCTGCAGCAGGCTTCCCTTCCTTGTAGGGCTGTTTACTGCCTTGGTTTCTGTACTGCTCACATAAATAGTCACCTGGAGGAGAGGATTCTTCCTTCCTTTCCCGAGTTTTCTTCTGCAAATGAGGCTCTAAATATTCCAAGAAGCTTTTTAGTTTCTTAATGTGTTTCTTCTTTTTCTTCTTTTTCTTATGTTTGCGATTGTCATTATCAAAGCGGAGTGCAGAGAAATCCAAATCATAAAGTCTGAAGGAAACATGCAAGTTAAAAATAGAAAAACAGATGTGGCACTTGATGCATATATAAAACGTTATTTATTTTACCACAGGTGATGGCTTGCAGTGTGTCAGTTATTTTGTGGTAATTTCTGCACATCTAACTTATTTTAGATGCAGCAAACTTAAGCCCTCAGATTGATGGACAAGAGGTCCTGGTTTGTACACAAATCATTAACAGGGGCTAGGTGTGGAATATGTGGAATTAAAAAAAAAATTGTTGTAACCTCATCGAGAATGGTGTGCAGATGTGATTCAAACTATGTGGTCCAGATCTAGTGTTCTAACACAATTCAGCAATATCCTTCCTATCTTCACTTGACCAACCTAATGACATGATCCCCAGCCAGATTATGCTATATAAATAACTTAGAAACAATGAAAAAAAGGCAGACATGAGAAACACCCAGAAAAGAATTAGGGAAAAAAATTGCTGATTATGCTGGAATCCTTGCTTACTTGTGATCCTTCTCTCGATGTTTATCTTTGGACTTCTTTTTCTTCTTGACCTTCTTATATTTTTTCATTCTTTGGTCATCTGTTTTTCGACATTTCTTTTCTATTTCGCTTCCGCTTCCTTCCGTGTGGCTATGTTTTCTTCTGCCATTTCTTAGTTTTTCTTTTTCATTTTCCCGGGAAGAGTCCTCAGAATTTGCATGAATTGACATACGTGGAAATGCATGCCTTTCCCGAGAATATTTTTCGGATTGCTGCTGAGGTACTGAACAATGATGTAAATTTGCTCTGTGGCTGCTAAAGTGATGTACATCTTCCTCTCTAGAGTGAGGCCATCTGCTTTTGAAATGATAATCCTTATGTGACCTGTTGTAAGTTTGACTTGATTTGTCAAAGTCTTTATCACAATGAGAGGACTTTCTCTCTCTACCATCTCTTGTTCCATGAGAGGAATAATAATCATTGTAGTATCTGCATTTTTCCCATCTCCGTGGTTCATCTTGATAGTATCTTTCTCTGCTCCAAGTTCTCTCTCCTTTGGAATGATAATACCTATTCCTGTCTTGTTCTATTCTTTCTCTGCTTCGGGATCTATAACGAGAATATTTTCCTGAGCTTTTGCCATTATTTGGACTGTTTCTTTCATTATGGGAAGATCTGTACTTGCTTTCATTGCAATAGTCCTGCTTATGATGATTTTGCTTATTTGTTTCCACACTGCGAGAACTCCTCCTCTTGTGGGAATGGTCATCTGTTTTGCTTCTGGTTTGCTTCTCCTTCTCTTCAGTGTCTGAGTTTTCTCTTTTCTTTCGGTAGTGCTCTTTGTCAGTTTTTTTAGAGTCATATATTTTTTTCTTATATTTTTTCCTATGTTTATCTTCTTCACATTTTTTGTTACCCAGTCCCTCATTTTCTCTAGAAAATTGGCTTTCCAAAACTTTATCCAGCTTTGTAATAGAAGAGTCATTAACAGGTGGTACCTCTACATAGTTATTAGAAATGTCCTTTGTATCTTGGCATTTATCTGTAATATCTAGAGATGCAAGTTTTTTAGAGCTACATTCAATGTCAGACTTTATAGAGGAAGTTTGCCCTAATTTCTCTTCGCTCTCAGGAGACCCTTTGATGTACAAAGAATTTTCTTTTGAAATCAGTTCAGGTTCTTTTGATCTTCTTAGTTTGTCTTTGTCTCTACTGTCTTCAGACTCACACTGCCCAAGGAATTCATCTTCAGCGTCGAAGGATTTTTTCCTGACCTTGTGCTGACCATTAATATTGGGATGTACATTATCAGCTTTTGCTATAATACTTTCAGCAACTTCTTCTTTGGTAGAAATGGTTTCAGAATCTGACTGAGTAAAAAGATTCTCAACCTCACAGCTAAAGTTGGAAGGAACCTTCCTGGATTCTTCATAGGCAAACAGAGCTTCCATCACTACAGTTTCCATAAAAGCATCATTCTCAGAAGAATTCTGAAGTCCAGGGATACTGCACAAAATAAAAACACATTTTTCACTTGAAAAAGTCCGTATAAAAGATGAATGTTAGGAGTGAAATCCCCTTAAGTAAAAAAATTGGTGGCTAGTGGAAAGACGTTCCCTTTAGAAATCTATTCTTAAACTTTCCTCAGCTCCCAGAGAAGATGTTTTTCTTCTCTTGATTCTGCAAGTACTGCATTAAAAAACACAGCACCCAACACATCTGTCATCCTCCACTTGCTGCTCTGAATCATATCAATAGCCAAAACCACTACATTTGCTCTCCCCCCACAAGAAAAAAGTAAACACATGGATCTCCCTCTCTCCCCCAAATGGGAGAGCAGATGGTGGCAATTTACATTCACACATCCTAGAATGGAAAAAAGGGGAAAGAGGAACAGAAAAAGTACTCCAAACAATGGAAAAAATGGAAAACCGTTCTATGAAGAAATAGAAGTTTTCCAAGAGGCATCTAACTGTATTTAATATCAGATTAATATATGCTCAGTGCTGATGTTTGTAACACTAGATGTACAGCATGGAATTCTCTGTACTGATTTAAATCTTTCTATTAAATAGTATTAGTAGACAGGTAAAACAATGATACATTTGTATGAATTCTTGTTTTAATCAGAGTGTACTCATTTTACCTTATTTCCTCTGCCAAGCTGTTCAACTGGCTGTATGTGAGAGATTCTAAGATTATGTCTTGAGGAACCGGCGACAAAGCTATAGGCATCTACAATTAAAACGCAGAAGTTAACAGACAGAAAAAATACTATATTTAGTAGAAAACTACTGTTTGCAAAATTTTACATAGATGTTGAACAAGATCACTTTGAGTTATATGCACTATCCCCATTTTACACACCACCGCACTCACCCCCCCAAATATATTTATGAAACTTATGTAGTATTATCTCAGCTGAACTTTTGTGAAGTTGACATGTTCTCGTATGTCAGCTCAGCTCTGCAATTTCTAATGGGATAACAGCACAAGATGTTATGATGAAATTTGTGCTGTGTGTTCTCTTGGTATTTCACATGAATTAGGAACATTATAATGCTCCTGAGTACTTAATACATCATAGGTGAGAAGTTCTAGATGGAACAAATATAACTCACTGTTTCAAGCAATCCATTTGTTTTAGAAAAGAAAATCTCAGAAGGTTTAACAGGTTGGACTTGGCAAGTGGAATCATCAAGTTTCAGTCCATTTTCTTTAGATTCATTATCTAAACTAATAGCACCATTTAGTGAATCATTTTTTGGCAGCTCATGCTGGGATCTTTCTTCTTCAGCATTCTGACAGGAAGAATGGGAATTCTGCAATGTACGGACCACCTTTCCAATCAAAATTCCGTTAGAAGATATTATGTTGCAATTCCTTTTAAACAAGCCCTTCGACTCCTCAGATTTTCCTGAAGATTCTGCACCGTAAGGGACCACGTTATCAGAGCTGAGTTTAGGATTTCCATTCACTGCTGGCTCAACAAAAATTTCATCAGGAACCTCCTGTTTGGAAACGTTAGTAGCAACTGACATTGTAGATGCATTTGAGGTAGACTCTGCTGCAGAAGAATTTGTAATTGTGGATGAAGGAACAGGCTTGCTTAGATCCTCATCCTCCGCAGCACTGCTAAGACAGTCAGGTTGTGACACAGTCTGACGTGCAGGCAATTTGTTATGAATACTGATAGTGATCTTCTGGTTTTTTGATGAATCCGTATTTGAAGGCCTGGTAATTGCCCAGTTTTGAACACAAGCTGTTGGTGGAGCTGAAGATGGCCTTTTTAGGGTGACACCAACAGTATTTGGATCCTCTTTTAGGGGTCCATTTCCATTTAAACGACTTGAATTCTGTATTTAAAAAGAAAAGATTGGAAGATGGATATGTGCAAACACACCAGCATTTAAAGTTTTAAAACATGAAATTCTCCTACTAAACACCGAAGAAGAAGAAACACCCCCCTTCAAATACAAATGTTAAGTCCAACAAGTGCGTTTAATTCCTGGTTTTGGTTTACTGCATATTGGTATCAAATGAGCATCATTTTTGAAACCCACCCAAACAACTTAACACTGACTAAAGCTATCCCCAAATATATTTATTTTCCCCTTTAAACATTCCCTGAAAACACCGGAATAATTGTTCTGGTACTCAGGAACAACACAATTTGTTTTCACTGTCTCAGCTAAAGTGACACTGATAGGGGAAAAAAAATAAAATATTTATTTATTTATTTAAGCATTAATACACTACTTAAATCCAGAGCATAGCTCTCAGTGCTTTAGAAAGCTGAGTTGGAAGTATAAAGTAATGAAGCAGCAAGGCTGCACAATTTAGGATTAGCCACTGTTTGAATAATTGTGGCTGTAGCATGAGGGCTGTGAAGAAAGCCACAGTGTCAGAGGGAAAATAAAACTCAGGTGCTAAAAACAACAACCCCCCCCCCCCCCAAACCCAAAACCCACTATTGATTTGGTGCCATTATCTGTCCCCCTCAAATTACCTTAATCATATGAGGAGGAAGTCGTGGTCCCATAAATCCAGCCTGCTTATTATTAGCCCCCCGCTGACCAAGGAATGAACGGGGATAAGACGGTGCTGGCAAGTAAAAAGCACGTTCTCCAAGCGTCAAATCATAGCGCCTTGGGAAAAAAGCAGTGATCTTAGTTTAGAGTTTTTCTTTCAGCCTATTCTTGGATTAAACCCCATCCTATAATTTTATAGAAGCAGTTTATATGACACAGAAGACATATACAGAAGACTTAACCAACACTACAAACTGAAAATTAGATAATGGTCTTCCTACAATGACTATCCTTTTCAGAGCAATAACTTATCCTTACACCATCTATGGCCTTAATTTCTCCTCTTTTCTAAATTAGCCAGCTACAGAAAGCAGATGTATAGTAATGTACACAAGTGCAGCAGTTGAAGCTGCTGCAAGCAATGGAAGACAATAAATGACATGGGGAATTTTAGGTCAGACAGAACTGAATTACACAAATGGTAGTCTTTTCCTAGGACAGAAGCAAAAACACTTAAAAAGAAGAAAAATATCAGTAACAGGAAAGTAAATATATTCTGAACACATTTAATATTTGTTATTACCTGATATAAAAAAGTACATAAGCCTGCTGATTGAGAACTGTTTTGATATCAGAAAGCTCTACTGAGGCATCATTCATTCGATACCAAAGTCCATTACCGGCCTGTAAATAAAGACAATGGTATCTTTATATGAATTGCATGTTTTCCAAATGACATCACAGATAGAACAATACAGAACAAAACATACCAAAACAAATCAAACAAAACATATAATGCAACCTTTTCCCCTAAAAACAGTGGTTACCAGTAACATTTTAATTTCTTTGTCAGCACAGATTTTACCCTGTTAGAAAGCAAGCCGGTATCTACCTTTATGAAGCAGAGATAGTGTCCTGCGTTACAGTTGAAACCACTATGTACAAGAACTGCATATAAAGCATAGATGAGTGGTTCTCCAATTGATTGGGACATATACGCTCGAAGATCCAAATATTCAGGATATTTTACATCCTAAACAGAGACCAAGAAGATTCAAAAATTATCCTGCAATGCTTCATGGAATCGCCTGAGAAAAATGCTTCTAAAAACACAGACTAGGATTATATTAATATATTTTTTGATTCATTTAAAAATACCTATTCTCATAAACGACATTTAATATTTTAAGTTGCAGAGAACTGTTTTGTACTGAATTAGCTCTTTAAGAGTAAGGTATATTCTTACAGTTACACAGGAACTTCATCATTATTAAAAAAAGAAAGAAGAAACCATAGTTGTTACATTGACTTTTCTTGGACTATAGTGATTAGTCTACAGTTATTGCCTGCAGACGTTAACAACTTTTAAATGAGTATTCATCTTTGGGAAATCTCCCATTCTAAGAAGATAAAGTAGCATTACAGCTGTAAATATACCTTGTTGATCTTTCCACCTGTAAAATTTGCAAATCTCTTCAGTGATATTGTGAGAACATTGGAAGAACGATGTATTGTATACCTCTTTGATGCAGGAACCATCTTTTTACACCTTAAAACCAAGCACAGACAAATGCTTAACAGCATATTCTTCCCCCCCCAAAAGTCAAACAAGTTTTCATCCCTCTGACATGCTTATGCTATTTGAATGATATTTACTTGCATAATATGTTTTTTCTTTTCATAAATCCATACACTGCATTTCAGGTTTGTTAATAGAGAGAAGATAGCAGGATATAAGAGGACAGCTCTACAGAACAAAGGATTTAGAACATTATCTTTTGATAGCCAAACAAATGTCTGAACATGTATCTTTGCTATGCCAAAAGGGTAAGGCTTCCCAACAACTCCGCGCAAAACAGGACCAGGAATCTCTCCTAAAGGCAAGGTACCATTTCTTGTAACACCAAAGTGGCTAATTTAAATGTGTCCTGGATACATTCTTTCAATTTTCTGCAGGAATGCCAATATTAAGTGGAACAAGAGAATCTCAGTCCTCAGGACTAGAAACCGCGAGTAATTTCCAAAATGGATCATATTTCAACGTAAAAAATTCACTAGAAGGAAACAGGCATTCTGCAGGAGGGAGACACTGGACAGTAATAAGTCTGTGTATACTGAGGTTGCCTGGAAAGACACTGAAACCATCTACAGTCTTCCCCCCAAAAATTGTTAATTGTAAGTTTGTTGCATTGCGCACTCAAAGGTAGGCCATACAGAGCAAGCCCTGAAATTCAACCACTAGCACAGAGAAGGACTGATACGTGTCAGTTTACATCATCAAGAATAACACTGTTGATAGTTAACAAATAGAAAGAATTAAATAGCCTCTTTTCAAATTCTGATGTCAAAATACAAGGCAGATAATTCCAAACTGATGGAGAATGCCTATGAACAAAAAAAGAGACCCACCCAGAATAAGAAAAAAAAAAAAAAAAATTATAAAGTTCTATGAAACTTGTAATTAGATACAAAGTTTTGAGGCAGTATTCTTTGTTAGAAAAATTCATGGTAGAGAAGAAAAGGAAAACTTCAATTAGGAAAAACTTAAAAGAAATAGAATAGTTTACCAGCAATGGAAAAGATACTGTACATATGCTAAACCTTTCTTTTTAAACTCGCAAAAAGACTGAAACTTCTGGGTTTATTTGTGACTAAACCAATCACACCCCACATTAATGAAGGATCATGCAATTCAGATGTGAAGTGCTTATTACAATTATCTTATTCTTCCTCAGCCAGAATCTGTAAACTATGAGAATTCTTCACACATATCATGTTGTTTGCTAGGATCCACAGATTAAAACGAACCTGGGATTAAATTGTTGTAATAGTCTATTGGATGCTCTTTATTCAACATCTGCGTTCAAATGTACTAATTAACTTATAGACTTCTGACAACAAAAAGCAGGTATTGCATTTTTCATTTAGAAGGATCAGACAGGAATGTTACAGAACCAAGCCTGGCGGTCTTTGCTTTTCTGTGTTTATGTTTGAATAACAACTTGTTTTGCTAAAATATCTTATACAAATGTTCAATGCTCTTACATACATAGAAACATTTTACATATTGATCAGCATGTAGGACATCTTAACTCCACATGCTTTCACTAAGCGTAGGTTAGGTTTAGGGTGGCTCGTTTCAGACAACAGTAGTCTGCAGGTTTTACAATTCAAGAACTGTGCAAGACGACGTTGTTCGACGAGCCAGCAGAGGTTGCTAATGTTAAATATCACCGAGTCTGTTCACATTCACTAAGACCCAATCTGACTTTGTTTCACAGTGAACACTAGGACCTTTGGGAAGCTGATGTTGCCTCCCACCCCAAATCGTTGTCTGTAGCTCTGTGCTTCAGCTCACCACTACTTATCGGACATGCCTTTTAACTTCTGGCCATATGAATATTTCAGTGTGCAAGTTCACACTTACGAAGACTGACAAACCCCAGTGTAGACAATACTAGGAATAAGAGTCTAATGTGAGCTAATGGCCACAATTCTTATATTTCCAAATTTTCAAACAGAAACACAGAAATGAGCCACTTAGAAACAAACATATTATCTTCCAAGCTTTGAATTATTTCAGTGTATTAGTTGTATAAACAAAACTAAATGAAAGAACAACAGAGAGCTGTGTCTCATCTTATTTCTAAACAAAGTCAAAAGATATCTTATGCTTCAAGTCATGCAATACGTTAAATGTGTATCTTGTATTAAGACGTAATTAGTAATAATCTTACTTGCTACACTTATAGCTATTTTCACCGTCCAGTTGTTCTGGTTTCACAAATTGTTCTAGAGCTCTGGTGACAGATGTAACTGCCTGGATGAGTAAGAAAGTAGAGCAGTAAGTCACTGGAAATGCAAAATTTCAAACACTTACTAGTAGTTTATGAGAGAACCTTGCTAGTTCATACTTAAGTGACCTACTGTGAACCAGCAAACACTGTGAAGGAGGCAGAAACAGAGTACGCTGAGCATTTACTCATTTGAAAATGATTCTACTTCGAAATAAATAAATTTTGCAATGCCACGGAGAGCATCTGTGGTATGCTTTGGCATCAACAGTGAGAACAATCAAATCCATCAGTCTAACAATAAATGTATATCAAAGTAGAATAATCGGAAGTATGAAAGTATCATTGTTGGTGTAGATATAATTATTATTTTTCCAGCTTAAATCCAATGCAAATATGGAGACCATTTACATGGCTTTCACAGAAGAACAAAGTCCAATCCACTCCCATCTACCACCAAGCTCTTTTGCCTTAACAGTATATGTTTTTAAGTAAAATGACTTTATTTTAGAAAGCTCTACAAGTCTTTACACATCTTGACCCATATTAACAAAACATCTTACCTTTATATCCAAAGTAATATCGAGGAATGGCTCGTACGTATCCGACACTGCTTTGCAGTTCAAGCACTTTACTGGAATCAAAAATACAAATGCTTAAAAATATGTGAAAGAGACTAACTGTGCAAATTTAAATCATTAATATGTATTACTTCAGTGAAACTACAAACTCCTTTACTACAGACAGACAAAAAGACACAGACCACTTCAAAGGACAGTAAGATTTTTAAAAAGTACCTCGGGATCTTAGATATCCTCCAAATATTTGATAAATAAGTGTGGTGGCTTGAGAAGATCTGTCCAATCTGGAAATAAATTAATATCAGACCTCAGAAGAAGATTTAAGGCACGGAGATTTTCTTTTTATGAAAACCAAGGACATAGATTTTAATTTATGATAGTAAATAAAGGAATAAGAGGGGCTAGAGAACATTTAAAGTGAATTTGTTTATGCTTACTTGGTGCTTCCATTCAAGCAAGCTTTCTGCAGAGCATCAACAGTGAAGCATAAGAATTCGTGTGCGTCCTCTTGACTGCCAAAATGGAAATGTTTTCCTATTCCTAATAAATAAGAAGGTTATTGTATTTATCTCATAAAATGAAAGAAAACTCATATTTCTAAAATCTCTCTTCTTTAAAGAATCAAAATAATTTATATGCATCAAATAATTCTTTGAGAAATAAAAAAAATCTAAAAAACTCCCAAAACATCTAAAATTACTTACTTTTAAGGCCATTGATAACAGATGTAGGTTTGATGGCATTATTAGAGCAACACAGGACCTGGTTAATGTGAGTTTCCATAGTGCACATCATACAGAATCCTTCTTCATGACCTGAAGAGTGAAAGAAGAAAGCATCCCAGTCTAGTCAAATATACATTGCTACAAAAAACCATAAAAAAATAATAATCTTTAAATTATAGGTACAATGTCCACTCTCCATGCTACATCTTCTTCTCCTAAGGTGTCAATATCCCAACAGTTTTGTGACATTTTATTACGCAGAACTATATAGAATAAAAATGTCAATTAAGTCTGAATTAAAGTCCGTTTTCTGATGAGAAATCTAAGTAACTATTGCAATGTCTTTTTTTTTTTTGCAGGCTGACAGGAATGTGAACTCCACAGACTGCAGAATATATGAGGAAACAATATTGACATTGATTATACAGCACTAAGAGAGAATGTGTGTTATTTTCAGCACACTGCTGTTAGGTGAGCTTCATGACACAGAGCTAAGAATCCTCCGGGAGAAAGGAAAGAGTAAAGTCATGTACGTATTAGTATTTCTGCCCTCCTTTTTTTCAACAGGATTGTTAACTGAAATAATTTTAATATATGGTAAGAAAACACAGTTAAATTTCTAGGAATAAATACTAAGATACCAGACTAGAAAGCACACAGGTGCCTTTGTAAAAATACATGTATATGGATATGAAAAGAGGCTCCTAGGCTTAAATAAATTCAAGTATAAAAATGAAATTTAAACAACACAAATTCAAGGGTTTGAAAGATACAGAATTTTATTTAGAATAAAATCAGTCTAAATTGTAACACAGTCCCACACAAATTTCTATTTGAGTTCATAAGAGATTAGCTTATAGTGCTTTCTAGGGTGTTGGGTTTTTTTTTTATTAATGGGTCAACAGTAAACATATCATTTATTGCAGTATTAGTGCATTACAGTATAGAGGCTGTGAAGACTAAGAATCTACAATGCCAACGTCCTGAATTTTATCACCTTTCTACCAGCAGGAAACCCAAATGCCAAATGTTCATCAAATGCGTTACTTTACAATGCACTTCATTATTCACATGAAGCAAGAAATGATCTTTTTTTGAAGTTTTACCATGGTGCATTAAATGAACAAATGCACTTTATATGCTATTCTGAGCCTCCTGTTAATATAATCATAGAATCATTTAGGCTGGAAAAGACCTTTAAGATCATGTTCAAAGCCAGCTTCTACAGAGAAAATAGAACAAATACGGGTTTTCTTCACAGAATCACTATTGTTCTTTCACCTTTAGTGCTGTCCAACAGATTTATAATAATGTTAGAAAGTACTCACATGACTGGGTGTGTTCAAGAGAAAGCATGTAATTGGCGAGAGGAGGCGTGTAGGTCAAACATTGTAGAGTAGAATTAAGGAAGCATGTGTTGCCGAGATTCTGCAGTCCAACTCCAACACTTTGTGTTTGTTGCCAGTCCATACAAATTTTCTCAGGTGGAAAGAGAATCCTTTGTGGTGGGGCAATTCCGTCATTAACAACTGCAAGTAAATTATATTTTAAAAGAAATGTATTGTTTTTGTTCTAAAAAGGATATTTAAAAAGTAGCATTCTGCAGGAGCACCCAGAAGAACCAACTATACTCCAAAACACAAAAACATTACGATGCGCAGCTTTAACACTGCCACTCAAATTTGCTGGTCAACGCACTGTTTTGGACGATAGTTTATTCATCTGTTTTAGTTCTTCTAATACAAGACAAACTACCGGTCTGATTTTAGTAACTTTTGCCAGGTTTCTTTCCATCTATAGTCTTTAATCTGATTATTAATTCAGTTGTTGTTTTTTTCCTAATTGTAACTTAAAACCACAAACTCACACTTGTATGGTAATAAATATAAGTACTAAGACAGAAAAATAAGCAAGTAGCTGGCACAAAAGGTAACCCTACAGATATCAGATGTCTTCCTAAGCAGTGTTTTCATTCAAAGGCTGGTGAATAATGGAAACCGTGAATAGCAATGGTAAAATGTACTTTTCTCTGCATAACAGAGAAGACCTGGGTAAGCCTGTGTATTACAAAAAGCTTCCCATAATGGACTGTAAATAGATCAAAACTAAGTTACAAATAGTTTGTAAATAGATAAAACTATTTCAACGCCAGTCCCTTCAGTTGCCTTAGGGGGTTCACAAAGTTGAAGTCTATACCACTGAAGTCTTTACTCGTCATAGTCCCATTTTTAGCAGCGCAACAAATAAGAACCGCATTTTCTACTTTGGTTTTTAAGAAAAAGAGGGGAGGACAAAAGACACACTTACCTAGATCTCTTTGGGCAAAAGGCTTTGATTTTTGAGATGATCTACAATAAATAGCACCTCCAGGTCCTTTGTCCACAGAGACTTTGTTTGGATCTTCTGCAGGTGGTACCCGGCCCAAATTTGCAGTGCGTGACGTCATTTTTTTAGTACGGGGTTTCTTAGATTTGTCAGACCGCCTTGAAGATGACTTTTTAGATTTTGAAGATTTTGGCTTGTTAACTATGGTCATTGTTCATATCTGTAACAGAAGCAAAAGTTCTGGTTGACATAAGAACGTCAAGAAGCATTCCAGAAAGAAAAGGAGAAATGCTGTCATTTAGTCTCAAATAACTTGAAGAGCTAAATAGCTGATAAGAATGATAAAAACAAGCAAGCAAGCAAACAAACAAAACCCCTACCCAAACCTAAACTTACAAAGCAGAATTTTCCATCAAAACTGTATCAATATTCCTTTTAACTTCTGGTGACGGATGAGATTTCTTACGCTTTCATGGATTTTAATCCATTACAGTTACGAAGACCTTTTTTTTTTTAAAAAAAAAAAAAAGGAGTTGTGAGCAGTAGCACCTTCAAGTGCTGGCCTGTTGTGATCCAGGAGGAGCTGTTCGGCCCATCTTTTCACTCCTAGGAACCACACACTCCTGGGAACTCTGAGACACAGAGGATGGGACATAGCTCTGAGAAATCTTGGGAAAGGAGAGCAACACCTGTAAGTTTATTTCTGCCTGGGTTTCATCTGCCCCTCCAAGAAATATTTGTTTGGATACAATTTTGGCAGCAGTACTTGTAGTATTTTGCACCTATCACATTTAGTATCAATCAAAGAGTTGAACCAAAAAGCATCTTTTTCAGTTCTACTTAGGTAAAGTTGTAGATTTTTGCGTGGCAAAACAACAGGGGAATTTAAGCTATAAAAAGGAAATGCTGAATGTAAAAGAAAGCAAAACAAACCCTTAGCCCCCAAGGACAAAGGCAATAACTAATATTAAGTCCTTTTTAAAATGCTGATTAGGTTGCAAGATGATACCTCTTTAATTATGTGTAATTGTGTGTGCGTAGTAAGCTGCTGAGTAATTACATGATCAATTGTCAATTTCTATACGTAAATTTTTGCTACTATCTTACTATAGCACATAGGGCACTTTTAAGTTTAGGGAAACTATAAACTTCACTGAGGTTTTAAAGCATAGGCTGCTTTGTTATACTGAAATAACTGGGAGAACAAAGCATAAAGCAGTTTCAGATTTATGGCACAACTTGATTGCTACTGATAAAACTTAAGGTAGATTAAACAAAGCACAGTAAATTAGAGAACTTCTAGTCCCACAAAAGACAAATTACGTGCAAAGCCTTTAATTAGATCTTTTTCCCTTCAAATTTTCAATTTAAAATCCACTCTGTACACATTTTCCATTTCTGAGAAGATAATACACAAAAGTAGAAAAATCCCTCTCATTTTACTGAGAAATGAAGACATCTTTGTCCATTTGGAAGGCTAACGTGTCAGTTGTTGGGCTCAATAATTTTCAGATAAGATCCAGTCTTCAAATTGCAGATACCAGTGGCATCTCCTTTTCCAACTGAAAGTTTTTCAACAATGTATTTAAAACGTATTTGTGGGACAAAAACCAGAATCAAGTCTGCAGTGAAAGGCAAACAGAAGAATATTATCACAAAAAAAGCTTGAGCGTTGTTGACCAAGGAGGTAAGCCTCACGTATTTTTTAGTTTATTTTTGACAACTGAGTGATACATTACCAGATATCAAGCACTATACAACAGCAAATATCAACGCTGGTAAGAATAAATCAGATCCACTTCCTCAAAATACGTCAACATAACTCTTAATTTGGACATAACATCTCTTTGACAAAGAAGCACAAAACTATGATCACTGCTATTTTTTCCTCTCCCATTGTTCAACTTACATACAGATTCTGTTCCTATACTGCTGCTGAACATAAATTTACGCTGTCACGTGTCTCGAGTGTTATTTCCCTGCGTGGATGTCACAATAGACTTTTTCCAGTATTTGGAGTTTTACATCAGCGTTATTTAGATTTTTTTCAGCAGTCTCATCACAAAACACATCAGTTATGACTTGGCTCGAAATATTTATATTTGGTCTCTGCTTTGCATACAATAAATCACAGCTCAAGAAGGTTTTATACAAGATCCCATTCACAAAACTGCATTTAACCAGGGAGTAGCGATTATGCACATATCTCATTACAAAACAAACATTTTCGGTGGTGATCGTAAAAGGATAACACGCACGCAGAAAAACACCTAGGTAGAAGTAAGGAGCAATAGAAAACTACTATAGCGTAGATAGGAAGACCAGGCACGCTCACGTCTCTAAATTACAAACTCCGCTTCCACACCACAACGCTACAGTAAGCGAAAATAAAAAAAAGGGGGGGGGAAGGAAAGGAAATGAAGAAACACCCCAAACACACACACACACGCCCGGCTAGTTTTACTTTCATTAAAAAATAATCCAGCCACCAAGCCGGGAAACGCGAACTTAATTATCGCTTTACCCTTAATTGGAGGCCAATTACGTACGTGAGGCACGGAATAACTTTAAATACTCTTTGCCCCGGCAGCGGGGAGGCCGGCAGAGAGTTGCCCGGCGGTGCCGGGGCCGTCTGAGCCCGGGGCGGCCGCTCGCTCCGCCGGACCCCGGCCCATCTCACAGCCCTCCCGCTCCGCACGGAACCCACCGTCCGGCTCCGGCGCCCCTTTTGTTACCAGCGCTGAGCCGGAGCCACCGACCCGCTCGCCCCCGGCTCTGCCTTTCGGAAGGGGCTTCGGTTCCCGAGGACGTCCGGACGCCTCAGGGTGAGCGGCAGCTTTCGCGGCCGGGCACGCCGCGCCTGCACGCAACATGTCCGCGCCGGGGAGCGGCCGGGAGCCCAAACGCGCACAAAACAAAACCGACCCCGCCGCGCAGGCGAGGCTGGGGCGGGG